TGTGTGTGTGTGTGTGTGTGTGTGTGTTCCTCCTGCACACTGTACTCGTGCAAATGAATGTGAGTAATGAGACAGTATGTAGGAAGGACTACATCCATCACAATCAGAATTTCAATCCAGTGGTGGTCCAGCTGTTGCACGAGAAGGCCGTGCAGATTCCCGTGTGCACGAGTCACTGGTCATCGACGCGGTGACGCTCGCTCTTGGCAAACGAGCAGGAGAGGAAAGCCCCACTCTCACTAACCACTTACGCACTAGAGTGGCTGGACTCAGGAGGAGTTGCTGATTGAGTGATTTGCTTCTTTTCTCTGAAACATTAATATTAAGAGCTCAGTTCTTCTGCTGTGAAGTAAAGTGGAGTCACTTTCATGTCGTTTATCATCAGCGGCCTGTTTCCACGTCATTACAGTTTGATTTTTGGGACATTTGTCGCAGCAGTTTCATTCCGAGGCTGAATTTGAAGCTGCTGCTTTAATGGAGAGAAGTTGCATCGCGTTGGTTTAAAATGAAAAACAAAGAGAGGACCGGGATCTACTCGTTGCCTTTTAAATGAAAATGTTCTGAAGTCTGCAGCGTGGAGATAAAGTCCAGCACAGCGTGAGGATTCACTGAGGAGAATGAGAATAGCAGCCAATTAAATGAAGTCACATGGCGAAAGGAAAAATGAGGCAGAAAATGGAAGTTAGTTGACAACGTTCAGTGATGCTAAATGAATTTGTTGTGTCTTGTTGTTGTGACATGATCTGCAGGTTTGTCTGGACGACGAGTAAAGCTGCGGCTTTGGTGTGAGTCATGCTGGTGTGTCCATGAGCCGAGGGGACGCAGAGGATCAGCTCCTGCGTCTGCTCTCTGCAGATTCACCTTTGACCTCTGACACCAGCGAAAATGCACAGACAGCGTTAAAGAGATTGTTTGTAAATGATATTTAATGAATTTAAATCTGTGAGCAGGGCAAGATGAGAAAACCAGAACAAAGAAGCTTCTTCTGAGTCAGAGGATCGAATTGTCCTCGTATCAAAAAGCCACAAATTCATCAAATAAACTTCACTGATGAAATTACACGAGCGGTTTCTTGTTGACTTTGCTACCTGAGCCTGAGAGAGACGAGTGGCCGCTAACCTTTAAACCGACGGCAGATCAGAGAGGATTTGGGTAATTAGATTTCCGTGTTCTCAAATCTAATTTGCTATTTTATTTAAAGCCAACAACGACAACACGCAGCCGCAGAGAGTTTTCTGCCATTTTGAGGCCGTTGTTGTCGGGCCTTGTGCCGGGAGGAGATTGCTCTGGATCCTGGCGACGCTGCGGATCCAGTCCTCAGGCATTAACGAGTGATTACTGGGTCCATGTCTGGGTGAAAGTATTAACACAGGACCGACTGTGATGGGGCTTATGGTTACATGTATGAAGTCGGCAGGGATGAAGAGCTCGACTGCAAACCTGCGTTATCGCAATGCACCCTCACATTTGTCTCCTCTGACCTGCAGACAAAGCTGGAACCGCAGCAACGGTGACGCCTGCGTTCAGTGAGGCAGAACCGGGCGCCGTGTCCCCGAGCACCTGCGATGACTTTGCGCGCTGGTTGAGACTCGGGCTCGTGCTGGAGCTGCATTTTTTTTAAAAACCGACTGAGTCATGCTTTTCAGGAAAGAAAGAAAGCCTGATGAGGGAGAGAGCTTTTTGGAGATGACGATGCACCACAGGCTAAACGAACTGCAGTAAGTGTCAGCAGCTGTTTGCAGGGATCTCATCCTTGCAGGCCTGTGTTCAAAACAACAGATCCAGGAGGAGAGAAGGTGATTTTTTAAAACTTCATTACCCAGGCTTCTCACGGGCCTCGTTATTTTGGTGTGCGGGACGTTTTATGGGTCAGAGACGTGATCCAGACGTCCTGCACCGGTCGTGGAAAACTCACCGTCCAGCGCTGCAATTCTCTCCGTCCAAATCTGGATGAAGAGGTCTGGGCAGATTACTCCCCTGAGGCTGCCATGATCCATTCAGCTAATCCTGATCATAGTGAGTTGGCTGTGCACCAATCTCACTGCAGGCCGCACACCCCCACCTCCAGTACAGCAATGAGATTGACCTACCTTTTAATTTGGGATTAGACGCGAGGTTTTATTGTGACCAATGAGAATTTCATCCTGCGATAATCAGCATTTGAGAGAATAAAGGGAATAAATCTGACAGTAAAGAGATTTATCTGCTTAGCTTCACATTAGAGTTGATTCTGGAGACGTTCGGCTGCAAAGTGACACGATCAAGTTTTCTTTAGAATGGCCTGATTCCACTCTACTGTACTTAAGGTTGTGTCTGTCGTTAAACTTTCCATATGTCCTGGTCAAACAAAGTCACGTGTAATCTGTCGTCAGCGAGTTCAGTGCGTCGCCGCCGTGCCTGTTGACAGCTCGGCTGTGGCAGATCGGCGTTAGTGCGACCAGCATCTGCTTCTGGCAGCGGAGGCGGAGGGGAGATTAGATTTTGCCGTGTTTGCTGGCTCTGCAGCTCCGGCGCAGGCCTCGGCCTTTAATCGGCGCTGGCAAATGGCCTCCCTGAAGGCGGCTGGCGTTGACAGGACTGTCTGCGCCCCTCCGAGCTTCCACTCCCTCCGGTGGTCTCCCCCTCTCTCCTCTCTCTTAACCTCACCTCTTATCTCTTGCAGCGACTCTGTGCTCCTCGGTTCTCCACGTTCTGTGAAAATTTAAAATGACCTCACGACCGCCGCGTTAGATGTTCCACACTGACGGGCTGATTACAGTCCTCCTGATGGCTCATTCTAACCCCCCCACCCCAAACACGACGAGCTAATGACGGGACTGAGGAGGAGATGTGATGTGGGAAAGAGCTGCTGCTGCCTCCCTCTCTTCCTCTAGTTTTTTTTTTAAAGTGGTTTCAGAACCGTATGACTGCATCCTTCATGATTCAGCCTCACGACATCCTCTGCGGTCGCTCTGAGGTCTGGCGATCATGTCAGGGAGCGGGGAGAGGGAGTCTCCTGACATCAGTGTGGTCACCTTGGTTTGCTTTAGTGGTTTCATTTATTTACTTCTTCGAGGATGTGTTCAGAATGCTAACATGCTAAATTGTCTATATGCCGGACTGGATTTTAAACCATGAGCTCAGAGATTCTCGATATGATGATGTTCATCATTTTACAATAAAGAAGCTTTAACACTTATTTCCCTCTTATGCAGACACGACTCTCAGTGTCGTCAGATCACTGTGGTCCCCTTTGCACAAAAAGGAAGTGAACGTACATTTGCGTCCACACACACAACGCTCGGCTGATCGAGCTTTGATTTGATTCTGATCTGAGGCTTTTGGTTCCAAAGTTTGCAGCGAGGGGAAACTGTGTAGTGCGAGGAGGAAGGATTCCCAGGATCTCTAACGCTCATTCATCCTGACACCTCCCGTAGCTGAAGACTGGGATCTGTGCGAGCCTCTTGAATATGAAGATATTTCATTTCATGTGGTTTGAGGTTTTAGAAACCAGCAGAGAATTAGGATTTGCTTTTTTTTTTCTCTGCTTGTCTGGCCTTCTACAGTCTCTCTTTCTCCCCCCTCCCAGTGTGTCTCTCACCTCCTCTCCCCCTCTCGTTTCCCCCCCCCCCTCACCGCCTTTGTCTCAGTGCTGCTGCTGCAGCGGGCCTTGCCTGCAAATGAGCACTGGAACAGAGCGATTATTCAGCCCGGTGCGAGCCCCTGCGCCCCTGCTTCCACACAGTGCTCATGCACGTGTGGACTCACGCTGCTGCTCTCGCTCCTGTGTCTTTGTGCATCTGAGCAAAAGAACATTTTCAGCATTTTTACAGTTGAGACAAAAAGAACGAGGAGAATCTGGACGTTTCCTGGACGGAGACGGTCTTTTATCTCTGAACTCAATTCCCTTTGGGGGGGGGGGGGAGGATGAGCTTCCTATCCCTTTCAAACATGAATGAATGTGACACACAAACATACACACACACACATTTCAATCTTCCACCCCACCCCCAACTCCACTGCCCCTCCACCAGCCCTTCCCCAGTGCAGTGCAGACACTGGCTGAGTGTGTGTGTGTGAAGAAAACCCATCAGCCCTCTCTGTCAGTGCGACGCTGCCCCTCTCTTGACTCTTCTCTTTCTGTCTCGTCCTTCTCTGCAGAAGCTGCTGCCGTGCCCCCTCCCTCCGTCACCACCAGCGCCACCTTGTGCCCTCTCTGCAGACGATAAGCTGTAATAACCGCCCCGACCCGTCCAGGTAAGATTTTACATCTTTCAAATCTCGTTTTGTTGACAGAAACTGGTGCCTCTCTCGTCTCCACTTCCTTCTTTATCAGGAGGTTTCCTTTGTTTGCACAGATTCTCATTAGTGAGGATATTTGCCTTTGACATATTCAAACAATCTTGTGAAACAGCTGATGTTGTGATAGGCCTCGGGGCCGCCTCTGTGTTTTGATGACCTTTACTCCCCTCCCTCGTCTAGACAGATTATTCAGCAGGACAGCGCAGCTCACCCTGGGTTCGCTGTCGCTCTAGAAAAACCCCCTGATCTCATGCGATTTCTGCTCCCCGGAAGAAAAACGCGATATCCGTTGGAAACAGCTTCGGCTGCGATTGTATTCAGAGGCCGGGGGCCGCGATGGCATGTGGCCGCTGGCGGTTAGCGACTCGTAGCCAACAGATTGTCGATGGTTTCGCCGTGGGAGTGACGCCAAGATGGGCGAGACCACGGGACCCGTTACTCCGCCCGTCGGCGTCGGCAGAGCCGTCACAAGTTGGCTGGAGGCTCTGGAGGAGTTTCAGAGCTGACAGGTGGTTTCTGCAGCGAGCAGGTGGTGATGGAGTGATGGTGAATCTGACTCCCTGTCCTTCACCCCCCCCCCATTTGTTTGTTTTGTTATCTCTTCTCTTCTTTCCTTCTCTTCTTTCCTTCTCTTCTCTTCTCTTCTTCTCTTTCACACTCCTGATTCCTGATGAACGCCATGAAGATCTTGACCTTATTAAAACTAAAGCTGAAGTATTGCGATTAGTTCCCTGGTATCTGTGTGTTAGACGTCACCTGGATGTCCGTCACACACAGCAACACGTCCTCCCCTCCCCTCCCCTCCCCTCCCTTCCTCTCTCTCTCTGTCTGCCTGTGTGGTTGCCGGGCAGCACTCAGGCGAGCTGTCTTTTCCCGGGAACTGACTCAGGATGACACGCCATGGCGTAGGAGGGGAGGACAGGACAGGGGGGGGGTGGGTCACACACTGAGTCCCCGCAGTCACCGTCCCCTTTTTTTTTCGCTGCGTCACTCTTCAACTTCTCGTGCCCTCGCTTTGAGGTCGTCGCCTGGCGTGGAGGCCGCCGTGCGGCCCGGGTCACCAACTGTTGCTGCGCTCGCAGGGCAAAACAAGTGGGAGAGGAGGAGGGGACATTGTTTTGGAGTCAACGCCACCGCTGGTTCCAACTGCTGTTTGACAGAGAGGCGTTTGAAATGTCACGTGTGTGAGAGGACGTTGTTTCATTAGCTGAGATACATTTAACCCTAGGATGTACCTTCAGCCTCTGCAGTGCATCATGGGAAGTGAAGGATCTGGTGTTTTTAGTTTTATATTGGACTGAAATTCCGGATATGTTTTATTTCAGTGGTCACGTAAAGTATCCAGCTGCCACGAGAGAAATTTAACTCATCCACCTTCAACATCGACCAAAACCAGAAGCTGAGATTTGTGTGTAACGCGCTGCAGGTGACCTTCACAACTCGACCTTGCAGCCGAGGCGCCGCCCTCGACTTTGACAGAACAGCCCTGAAGGGTGCGTTGACATGTGATATGAAGCTGCGTGTCAGAGACGAGGTGAACCACGGAGGCAGGAGCAGCTGAATGGAACGGACGGAATGGGATTTTACAGACGGCTCGTGTTGTTTAAGAAATTCGTGTTGACGGAAGATCGGCACTTTTCATATTTGTAATGTCATGAGAAGAATATGATGATAGTGTAGCGTGCATACAAACTGTAGATCAGATTGTATTCATGCTCATCCATTAAATTAATAACTGTGAATAAACAACTTCAGAATCTTCTTTAAACCTTTAGACCTTTGAGCATGAGCAGAAGCATGAATCAGAGGAAAGTATTAAATATAACAGTTGAGTCTGGAACACTGAGATCCAAACATGAAGATGTCCTCGAGCCGTTCCACCTTAGAGCCCACACTGTACATTTGTACGGCCCCTGCGGACCACCCTGTCTGAACATGACTGATGAATGTGTGTGTGTTGCTGCGAGGCCTTTACGTGTCGTAGCGCAGCTGCTGCCTGGTTTTCATGACGCTGCAGGATGAGGTTAAGATTGGAGACGAGGGCAAAGAGGGAGTTTGTTTGTAGATGTTTTACTTCCTGATATCTATATCTGGTTAGTCTGTCCCTCCTCTCTGTGGAGGGGCATCCTCTCTCTTTGCACCTGTAAGCTTCCAGCGATTAGACAGAGTCGTCCTGCAGAATACAGGAGCTCGGGACGACACACACACACACAGTTAATCAATTATTTACAGGCAGTGAAGAGATAATGAGAAGCCTCAACTGCAAATCTGACACGTTTCTCAACACACGGAATCTGTTTATCGATTGCAGCTGCAGGATGTTAAAGGAATAATGTTGTTTTTTTGTTGAGTTGAATTTTGAAATCACGCATCGTATTATTTTTGGATGCGTCCGTGCACTTGAACATCCTTCACCCAAACTCCAGCTTCTCTTATCTGATGTGTCAAACGTGCATGTGTTGTGTTGTTTGTGTTGTTAGGAGGCGTGTGCCGGCCTCGGGGTGTGCGTGTCTGTGTGTGTCTGTCTGCGGGGAGACGGAGGCTGTCTATGTGAATTATAGATGAGGGAACGGGGGCGATGGCCAAGTTAAAAAGGGGAGAAACCGAGACCTCAGAGGAAAGACTGAGAGGCTCTGTCGGATTTTTACAGGCCGAACCTCGAGGTTGAGCCACAAACGCAGTCTGAGGAAATCTCTGCAGCTTCAGCCGGCGTGCAATCACCATAAATCATCACATTCACTCCTCTTAGTTTCCGTTTTTACACAAATCAGTGTGTGGGTCTTTAGAAAAAGGGTTTTCTGTTTCACTTAAGTGTCCCGGTAAGACCCCGAGTGACACTTGGATGGTTTTAAATACAGCTGCAGTTCCTCTTAGTTCCCAGTTTAGCATTCAGCAGGAGGCAGCAGTAAGAACTAAGCCTTCCAGTGACATGATAAAACCCCCGGAGGACAAATTGGATGTCCTCAGGGAAATGGAAATTTGAGCCTTTAATAAAGATAATATAAAATGTGAAATATCGGAGAAGGAAAGAAAACTTTGGTGCATTTACGTTTAAAGTTAAATTCTGGTTTGTCATCCATCACCACAGAACTCTGCATCCGTCTGATTCTGCAACAGGCTCCTTGTAAACACAGTCACTTGGACTCTGTTTAACTGGAATTGAATCCAGGTGCATTGAGCTGTTGTTGTTTTTACTGCCTTCCTCTCGGTGCACGTCGCTCTCCCACGATGCCGGACGAGCTTCAAGTGCCGAAAATCAATCCAGAGCCCATGAAGAGTTACGACTCGTGTCATGATCGATGCAATTCCTTTATTTATTATTTGAATGCATCCTGAAGTCTGCAGGATTGAGTCTTGAGCCTTTTAGCGGCGTGCAGAGATTAGGACTCATTTTCTGTTTGATGAAGTCTGTGGATTAGGTCCTGACCTCCTTCCCCTCCTTCATCTCTCTTTGACTCTTCCCTCCGTCTCTTCTGCTCTGTCTTCGACCCGCTTGGCCTCTGTCCACCCTGGAGGAACATGCAGGTCAAACAGAAACGCAGAGTCGAGCGTGTTCCTTCTTTCCAGGGACTCGAGATGAATCGCTCGTTTGTTCATCCCTGTTTTATTTTTTTTTCTTCCGTTAAGTCGAGCGACAACACGAGCTGCTGGGTTTGATCGTCTGCGTCTGATGAGCTTGTGGAGAAATTATCTGTAAAAGTTGTAATTAATGAGTTTGGAGTTAAGATACGACGATTAGAAAATCAGAAAGTGGCTGAGGCGTCAAGTTTTTTGCAGGAAGTGTAGCTATGTATGATTTCATTAATCCCTTTTCCTCCTCATCTCATCTGAATCGCATTAATGTGTTCATTGGTTTCACTCTAAATCTCCGTATGAGTGAATTCATGATGAGTTTCTATCAGTCCGATGAAAAACGTGGCGTCACGAGGGACGGATCATTTACTCTGACGGTTTGAAACTTGTCTTAAGGTATAAATCTTTTCCTCTTGATATTTTTGGGCAGAGCTGTAACTCCACATCTCTTTCTATCTCTCCATCTTCCTCTCTCTTCATCCCTTTCTTTACTTGGCGGATCTTCACCGCCTGGCTGTGCAGTCTCTCCCCTGAAGAGACATTATTTCCTGTCTGACCTCGGTTTCCTTCTTTTCTCCTTTTTTTTCTGTGTCTCTTCCATCAAATTAACTCGCCTCCCTGCTTTTTGCCTCCTCCTCTGTGTTTGCAGACGGAGAACAGATCAGATTAAATAACCTCATAAATCACTGCAGAGACATTAAAATGCTTTGAAGTCGTTTTTTATTGGATTTTAATTTAATTTGTCAAATCATACAAATCAAAGTCATCCGTCCTTCACTCGAAAATCTAATACCGACTGATATTTTTACGATTAAGATCATTTACCTGTGTGTTTTTGTTTCCAATCTTTTTTAGAAATAATGTGTGACCTCCCTTATTTTGATTTTGTCGTAATTAACAGGAAAACAGATATTTTCAACAATTAGTTTGAGTTAAATTTCAAACTGAATTCGTTCTTTAATGTGAGAATGATTCCTCCTGTGTGATGTCTGTTTCCCTCGCCTCTTCACTCCAGGCCTCTTCTCCTCTCTCCTCTAATAAATCAACCTCCTTCCTGTTTGGAGAATCTCCGCCTCTCTTTGCTTCATCCATATCCCCCCCCCCCACTGCTCCTTTCACACTGTTTTAATGTTAACAGGATGCTCTGGAGTTCCACCTCCTCACGGTCCCACAGCAGAGCTAACGTGCAAATCTGTCTTCCCTCGCGGGCGGATGTAAGCCCCTAACTCATCCTCTGGCTCGGCCCCAGTTGACCAATCCAGGAATTTGACGAATCTTGAAAACGTCTCGCTGCAGTGGAGTCTGTCTGGTTGGCACACGGAGGACACGTTCACTTGTAATCACTTGTTTATGGAAAATAATGTCTCTCTTGGATTGTTATCATCTTTTTTTTTTTTTTCTTCCTCTCGTTCTCATCTTTCCATTTTGTTTAAGTTTTTAGTCGAAGCATCTGAACATGTTTGGTTTTTTTAAGGGTTTCTCTGAATTCCTCTCAAACTAAACCTGGAAAACCTGATGCTTTAACTTTCTTTTTTGAAATTAGATTTTCTGCTTTTGTGCCACAGAATCTTCAAATGCTTCGTATCTCTTAAATCTGTACAACCTCAGTAAAAAGGTTCTGGAAGTAAATAAACCACAATAAATCGAATTGAAATCATGTGAGACAGTTTAGAATTAAACTTAATAAACACGTAGAGCATACAGATTCAAGAGGTTTCTAAATGAATAACTAATATCTCAGCTGTCCTCATCGTGAGCGAGCAACGTATTGAGTTAGAAAACAGAGCTCTTGACTTTCAGCTGCAAAAAGGTTTTTATTTTTATTTTACATTGATTCAAACTCGGCACAAAAAAGTTAAAAGATGCAAATGAGAAAATCAAACATCTCTGTGGGATATTTAACATGTGAGGAGAATAACACAGTAACTCTCAATATGAAACACTTTCACATTAACATGCAGGGAGACGACAAAGGCATGTGTTGTGACGGTGCACGTGCGCACGCCTGAGCGCACACACACTCTGGATAGATGAGATTATTTTCGGCTTTGTTGTCGTGTACAGACGATCAGCGGCAGCTTAAAAGAGCCACACTGAGGTTTGGATTAATGTTGCTGGCAGAGTCTCGGTGACCGGTTCTGAGGTTTTCCTGCAGAATTGGGAAACTTTTGAAGTCTGGTCTCTTTTGTCGGCTGGTTGGATTTAACCTATCTCACATTTTAATGACATGCATAATCCATCTTTCAGGGTCATCGCAGAAACATTGTAATGCTCTGTGACGCCTCTCGATCTCGGCCGCGGGCCGTGGGATGGTTTTGATTGGCTTTGGTCTCACAAACCTCAGTGGTCAGAGCTGAGCCGCTGCCTCAGGCTGAACATGAAGCCCAGATGATTCTGGGCTCAGAGGTCAGAGCGTAAAGATGGCGCCGAGTCAAACGAGCTAAGGATGGTCTTGTTTTCTTTCCCCTTGTGATGATGAGAGTGGAGCTTCAGCTCAATGGTTTCCTGTCTTGTCTCCTCCAGGCAGATCTGAGCAGACACTCGTCCGTCTCGTCCGTCAGTGAAGACACATCTTCAAGTCAGAGGTGAGTTGACAAAGACAACATGGACGCCGCACAGTGACCGTGTGAACTTTAATTTCAATGCACAAGTTGGAGGCTTTAACGTAAACGCTCGCGGGGCAACGCCACCGTTCCGCAGCTAAAACCACACGTTGTTTGAACGCAGCTTTTAAAGTTCAGCGTCTCGTCTCACTCCAGAGCAACTTAAAGAAAAACACAGAAGTCTGGTCGGCTGCCAGACGCTAAGCTACTCATCCACTCCCGGGACTTTTCACACTCGCTTTTCCCATGACTCATCGGGGCCTGGGAGTCAGATGTAAGTGGCCGCACTCAGCCGGATGATTAGCCTGGCTGTTTATGAATGTATAATAGAGGGACGGGGTCAGGGAGGGAGAGGGGGGGGGATACGGGCAGATTGTTTGCGTTGATGTCATTGGAGATATTTTCCCCCTCCCCCTAAAAAA